GGCGGGGGCCCCGCCAGGGCTGCCATGGCCGGCGGCGGGGCCCCCCTGGATGTGGAGGCGCTGCGGAGAACTGTGGAGAAGGCCTTCGCTGCTGTCGCGCTGCGGGAGGCCCTGGAAGCCGTGCTCCTGGGCGTCCGCGAGCTCAACAAGTTTGTGACCAGTGCTGCTCCTTGGAGCTGCCAAGAAGAGGAAAGGAGGCAAGAAGTGGTGCGCGTGGGGCTGGAGTGTATGTACACCCTGGCGCACTTCCTCGAGCCCTTCCTCCCCCAGGCCATGGCACTTCTTTTCCAACAACTCAACGCCAAGCCCAAGCTGCTGCAGCAGCTCTCGCCCTGGCTCGAAAACCTCGAGCCCGGCACCGAGCTCAAGCCCGCGGACAGGGTCCTCTTCGCCCTGCTGCAGCTCCCCGACGAGCAGCAGCAGCAGCAGGGGGAGCGGCAGCAGCAGCAGGGGGAGCAGCAGCACCAGCAGGGGGAGCGGGATAGCAGCAGCAGCAAGGCCTCGCAGACCACCTCCGACACCCCCACCTCCCGCAGGGACGCGGGGCTCTGAACGCCACACCCAGGGGGCCCGGGAGGAAGTAGCAGCAGCAGCAGCAGCTGCAGCAGCAGCAGCGGCAAAGTGGCCGGTGCTGCCGCTTGCTTTAGTTTAGGTGTTTCAAAGACTTCATCGACGCTGCTTGTTAGGCTTGAGGGGCCCTCGATGTACATCGCCCTGTGGCGCCGAAATAATCTTAGAGCCTAGGGTTTAGGCCACAGGGTTTAGGGTTTAGGGTTTGCTAGAGCCACGTCGGCAGGGCTTCCGGGCGAGAGCTTAGGGTTTAGGGTTTAGGTGAGCCAACTTGGAAGCGTTTCCAGGCGACGGGTTACGGCTTACGTGGCGATTGGCGTCAGAGCGTGAGACTTTATTTTTATAGTTCGCATTTGCTTCATTTATATTAAAAGAGTAAATTCAACTTTAATCGTTTTAAAACTTATTGAAACTATATCAGTTTCGGGCTTTTTTGCCCTTGTTCGCCTCGGCAAACGCAGACACAGGGGAACAGCACGGGAAGGGGGGAAAATAGATGGCCGAAATGCCAAAATTCTGGAGCAAAAGATTAAAACATAAACAAAATAATATTTAAATAAAGCTTCGCAAAATAAACAAAGAAAACAAGAGAAAACAAAAGGGTTTCCGCTGCGCATCTCGAATGGCATCGAGTGTATGCACACAACCATAGAAGCAAGGCCGAACGAGCTGGCCCAAATAAACAGCAAAAGAGAAAACTGAGACATTAATCTATTTAATATTTTAAATTAAAAGTAATAAATGATTATATTCCCGTTTATTTTTGCCTCGAATGGACGCCAGCGAGGCACGCACACCGGCGGGAGCCGAGACACCGCGGCGGCTGCGCATAAGAGGCGCTGGGGGCAAAGCAGCCAAATTAAAGGGAAAAGTGCAAAAAATATTCAAATAAATGTTTTTAAACATTAAATTCAAAAAAGCATTAAAGACAATTAACGGGAAAACAAACAGATGAGCGCTGATATCAGCTGGCGCGTCCAGTGGCCTGTGGCTGCTGCCTCTTTGCTGCCTTCTTTGTGCAAATCGGCTGCTTGATCTTTTCTCCATTTGCTGCTTATCGCCTCCTTTCTGAATTATATTTAAATTAGGTTGCTGCTGCACTCACTGCAGCAGCAGCAGCAGCAGCAGCAGCAGCAGCGGCTCAGCAGTACACACAGGGTCACTCCCCCAGTGACCCCGCACACAAGCATAACCAGCAGCAGCAGCAGCAGCACTTGCAGTGCCGGCAGCAGAAATAGTATAGCAGTAGTGGCTGCAGCAGCAGCAGCTGCAGGGGCAGCGTCAGCTGCAGCAGCAGCAGCAGAGAAGAACTACTCCTTTGCCCGCGAGTGAGAATGGCAGCAGCAAGTTGCAGCAGCAACTCAGACGGGGCCTCAGCAGCAGCAGCAGCAGCTGCTGCTGCTGCTGCTGCAGATAATGGTTTACATCCTGCAGCCTCTGCTGCTGCTTATCCAGCAACAACAGAAGAGGCACAGCTTTTTTTAGAAAGGGCAGAAGAAGTAGCTGAGAGGGTAACACAATCCTGCGGCAGCAATTTCTGCTGCTCCTGTTGTTGCTGCTGCTGCTGTCGCCGCTGCAGCTGCTGTTGTCGGTGTTTCTACTGTTGCTGCTGCTGCCCCCCACCTCCC